GACTTTCTCACAACTTAAAATCAAGGAGAGTTTTCATATTGAACGGTTAAATCCAGAACTCAACAAACAAGTTGAGCATGTCAATTTATCGTTACACTTAATTTTAAATGTATCTATTTCAGCTTAGTGGTTTTTCACTATTGTTCCTATCAAAATTTTTATTGGTTAGTTTAAATAAGTTTGCATTTTACCTTAATTTAAATTTATAAGGCTCATTGTATAGGCTGTTACATATATAACAACGATCTTTCTGTAAACCTTATATATTCATTATGGCTGATGATGATGCTTGAAACATCGAAACATGTTCCGAAAACTGAAAAGCGATGTTGTATATTTAAAAATATTTACAACATTTGTGCTATCAAGACCCATACGATTGCTACTAGTAAGAGTCACGATGTGTTGTGGTATTTGAATTGCGGGGGGATTATTTTGACAAAGGATTTTCTGTATTCTAAATGTCCGGCAAACATCCCTACATAGCTTTACACTGACCAAAATAATAGCAGGGAATTTTGTATATTACAATGAAGGTCGAGAAAACGAGAAAACGAGAAAAACCTTTTGTTGGAACAATCCCCATCCCAATGATCTAGGTAGAGATGTTTTAGAATTAAAGTACTTAAAAAATCTGTTATTTTCGTCCATTTTTATTTTCTCAGATCATGATTATGCTTCATTTCCATGACCTCCGTGCTTCGACGGTTGAGTTAGTAAAAACACTCGGTAGCAATAAATAAAACTGGCTGGCTAGCCACGAGATAAGCCGACTTGCAGTATTGTACTTTTCTCTAGATGGGATGCTAATGTTTGCTAGAAGCCTCAGCATTTTTATTTGATAGACTGAGCCCTGAAAATTTCAGCACGTATCTATAATACTGGGTGGAGAGAACACAATGCACAGCTGGGTAATTAAAAGAATACGTTTGTGAAAGATAAATACTTAAAATCCTACCTCCTATTGTAACAGTCAGTTTCATAACAGATAACGCTTTTTCCAACACTGCAGCGGATGCCGCCATACAAGTATATCTCCCCGAATCCTCCTCCTTAGAGTTCCAAATTTGAAGTGTTCCATCGACACCAACGTTTCATCTTCCTAGAGGTAGCTTACCGTTTTCCTTCATCCAAGTGATTTTCGGCTTGGGGTCCCCGGTGGCCTGGCAAGTGACTGTTATATTGTGGTTCCTAAGCTCTCTGAGTTGCTCAGGCGGCCTGACTGTAAACTGAGGCAGTTCCACTACGCTTAGATGTGTAACAGCCGAGTGGTGACCTAAGATGTTTGTTGCTTTACATTTGTACAAGCCAGAGTCTTTCTTCTGGGCATTTGTTATTGACAGCTGTCCGTCTTTTGAAACAGTTCTGGCTCCTACCAGTTCACCGTGCACTTTAGACCACGTGATCACCGCTAGAGGAAAGCTAGTCACGTAACAAGTTGGTAAAGTGATGTCCTTGTTCTTTTCGACGTAGGATGGTCCAAACGAGAGAGAAACTTTTGGCTTACCTAGAAGCAAATGATCATAATGATAATATAATAATTTTCCAGTTTAACTACACAGGCAATAGGAACTCTTTTAATGGCACCTTATCATTAGCAAAGCCCGCTGTATTCAACACGAAGCGTCATTTTCGTTCACTCAAAAATACGTTTAAACTATCGACAAGCACAAAAAATTTTAAACTTACCTTTAAAATTCAATTGATACGATCGAAAATGATATCTCTAGGAATATTTCAGATGTAACTTCTAAATATCGTCCAGACAGAAAGAAACAAACGAGCGGATAAAACTACTTAAACGTTTAAAGACCAAAAAACCAGACACACACAAAAACACCAACATAGAAAACGCGGAAAGCTGGCATAAGTTATCATTATCACTGACTAGACGTCTAAATTATTTATCAGTTTTGGCAAACTCATGTCCCCTTTTCTAAATACTGTTTTGCACCAAGTTCACCGCGCATGCGCAAAATAACTAACAAAATGCGCAGAACACACAGAAATACAACATCGACACAGAAATAAGACCCTTGGTTGTGTGTAAAAACTCAAGTTTTGTCTATTTAATTTGTTCAAACGTTAAAGCTCAGTATGAATGGATCTTCCTCAATTTCTCAACTTACGAGAAATACCAAACAAATGCCATTTCTCTCCAATGAGATTGCAAGGAAGACAGACATAAATATTTTGTCCACAGCCTAACTGGAACCACTGAGTCTGCGTGGGATTTAAGTAAGCATGGCCCTGTAAGCATAACTGACAATAACTCATGTTCTTAATTGAGGTTTCTATGTCTTAAGTGATCTGTAATGTCAGAGTTGTAGTTCCCAACCTAACCGCTGGTAGCCTAACCCACACTAAGTCTACTTGCTAACTTAGGGATGTAGGTCAAGCTTTGTTGTAAATTTTCCCGTGATTGTGAAGGCAATAAAATATGTAAATAAAACAACGGTGAAGGAGAATAATTGTTCTTAATATATACATATTTCAGTTAAAGGTTCAATCAAAGGTATTTGGCTTAAAGCGACGTATGTTACATGTTGTGTACTTGAGACAAAATAAACTATATTAAAAATATATGTATAATTTTAACTTACTCTGTACAACAAGGTTTGCAGAGGTTTCATCTTCTCCCAGAATATTGCGCGCCACGCATTTGTATTTCCCAGCATCCTCTAAGCGAACGTCATCAATCTGCAACAGGCCATCTAACGTCATTTTGACCCTGCTGCTAGGTAACGATCCATCAATCCTAACCCACGACAGCTCGGGAGCGGGATTTCCAGTAACAGAGCAAAACAGAGCAGCAGTCTTGCTTTCGTTGACAGTCAGTTGTGAAGCAGGGGAAATTGTCACTTTTGGTGCAGAAATTGATTCTCCGGGTTCACCTTTAATCCCTGGGATGCCCGGTGGCCCAATATCCCCTTTAATTCCCTTTTCTCCTCTTATGCCTGGTGTTCCCATAATTCCTTGTTTTCCACCTCGACCAGGGGGTCCCATAACTCCTTGCTTCCCATCTGGACCCTGTGGTCCCATAATTCCTCGGGAACCTTTTCTTCCTCTCCTTCCCGGAGGTCCCGGCAGTCCTCGCGGGCAAACATTAAAGCTTCCACTCTTCTGACAGATCTTTTTAAAACTCGAGGTGACAACGTCTTCCAAAACTTCTTTCATGTTGGCTGAATTATTAAAAGTCGGATTGTTGGCAATGCTACGTGTGATTCTATGGAGCTTTGTGTCACTGTTTGTCTCTTTCTTCTCAGAACGCAGCGGTAGAATTTCTTAACAGGAATTAGAGAGATATACCTTTGTACTGTCAATTATGAGTCGAACTGAAAATTTAAAAGTCAAAAGATCTGTTTCAGCCTTTGGGCCGTTTCAGTTAGTAAATGGAGGCTAATTTGGCCTTGAATGAATTATTAGTCAGGGTGTCTGTCTGTCTGTCTGTCTGTGTCATGAATGAAAGAGGTTTTGTGGCATTAAAGACCAACTCGAAGCTGTTTGTACTAAAGCATCTCTGCACGAGACCAAAGGTGACTAAGGCACGAGATGGTATTACTTGAAATCTTTCTTCATTTATCGAAAATTGAGACTTAAACAGAGATCAAGTGCAACTGGTAGATTGTGCTCTTTGTTTTCTTTTTTCAATTGTAACACGAACGTTTATCTAGAAGTAACCGGGAGCCTTTGGGATATTTAGTTACAATTCCTTCACTAAAGCATTTTTTCTGTTCAAAGAAGCTAATATAGCTAATATAATAATAAGATCAGTAAGTGAATTGCTGAAGAGGAAGAGATTTTGTTAAAACAGTTAGACGACACACCAATACCTAACCTTTAT